TATTTTCTACATAAAATCGGTCACTCACATAATTAGATTCTATTAGTTTTCCATTAATGAAATGATATGTTTTACCATGAAGAACAATATCTAAAAACTTCTTATTATCAGGAATACCATCATTCCTCACCACCTCCCAAATCTGTTTTGCCAAAAACTCTGGTCTTTTTTTGTAATTCTTGTAAGCTTATTGGATAACTACTGCATAGAAATTCTCAAACTGATAGTTGTATTGTCTCACAATCAAGAATCCTCAAGATCGCTTCATAGTTCTTCCTGAAATACTTCACTAAAATAATTATACAGTATATTGGAGGATCTAACCTGAAATAGACAAATCAGGTTTTTCTTCATATATATGAAGCATTTTACAATTTCACCAGGCGATCATCTATACAAATTTTATTTCGCAAAAAAAATGTTATGAATAATTCATATATCACACTTTCAGCTAAATATAGTTGAAATAAATAATGGTATTATTCAGTTGAAAGATATTAAGTTTATCTTCGCATTATTTCGCACAGAATTAAAATATTCCTTAGCATCAATCAAGACCTGGTTTCTCTCAAATCTATAGGCCAAAATCTCTGGTGCACTTGCATTACGTTACATAATGTATCTCTCAAAGCTATTCATTAATGCAATAGGCTTTGGTGGTAAAGGAGAAGGGGTCAATGAATATGACTTATCCATCCAAGATTCCCTTTGGGAATAGTAACTCTGGTATTGGACAGGCTTTTTCAGAAAAGGAGTTAAGAAAGTATTGTTTATACAGATATTTTTTTGCTGGTTATAAATATAGTGAGGCTTGCTAGGTGTAGTGTTTACATTACTTTGCACCTTATGCTTTTGCCTGATACGTCTAATCCTATTTGATACATTTTCCAACCACATCTTATATTGACAGATTGCTTTCTTTGTGAAATAGCAAGGTGGAGGATTATTTTTCAGCTTCATGTAGTCTTCGAAACTCATATCACAATATTCATTTCCAGTACAATTTGTACACCAATGCTTATCCATAAAGTATGCATGGAAATACTCATATCTGCTTCCTAATTTGGAATAGACGAGCTGATTACAAGAATAGCATATTCCTATATTTACTCCGAACCAAACATTACACTGATATAATAAATATGTTTGTTTTCTTGCAATAAGATATCTCTTATTATAATCAGTTAAAAGATGATTTTTTCTATATTCCATTAATGTATTCCAAATTCGATCCTTCCAATCTGATGGAGTCTCATTCCCATGCATTTTAGGAAGATCATAGTTAATATGTGAATCAGTTACACTTAAATGCACAAAGGGGTCAGAATATACCATATTTAATGATTTTAGCTATTAAGAGATTTATAGAGATTTATAGCTATTTTATCGATTTATAGTTATTTATAACAAGTATATTATAATAAAATATCGGATTCATTTTTATTCGATTATAAGCATATTGGGGATTTATATCTTGTGCTATGCTATATTTACATGCATATGCACAGCTAAATCGGTTTGTGACATGATGTACTGTATATCGTATCACATGAGATCTCCCCTAGTTCCCTGTCAGTTCTAGGAGAGTTCCAGGCGCTGGCGAGTTTCTATAATCACAAGATGATCGGCCAATCAGATTTCGCCTCGCAATTTCTTATTTGCATTAACCCCGTTCCCTATATTCCTTTTCTATATCTAGCATAAATTTCTCAAAAGTTCGTCTATTATAATCGAGCAGGTGCCTTCTTTTTTCTCATATTCATTTGAAAAAAAGATAATTTATTAGGGTATGTTATCTGGATATACTATTATAATAGGTTATCTCCCACAGATTGATAGATCAAGAGAATTATTCTCTTCCTCATGATCACAGGTAATGAACAGTATTATCTGTAACACATATAGTTGATGTTGGAAATACATTACATTCTGACCAGCTTAGAGGACGTAATAATTTTTTCTGATTCATGGCTCCCTTAATCATAGATTTCATGTGAGAAGGCTTTTGTGTGTAAAAAATCATTATGATAGATTAATTTATTTGCACAAAATATAATCATACGAAAAATACTATCATATCTATAATCTATAATATCAAGCAAAATATATTTATTATACAATAATTAAACTAGAAATTTTCTAAACATTATAAATTTCGCAAGTTTTCCGGAATCTTCAAGACATCTCGAACACATGTGCCTTCGGAAGGAATGAGAATACTATCTATTTCGTTCATGATAACTGCCTGTTGGACCATTTCGTCCTAAGATTTACAAAAAAGTTATTAAATATTTAGGACAATATTTCGGTTGACTTTTTTTAAAAAAATAAATATTTATACTACACACTTACATGGAAAATAGCCATCATCCGCAGGACTGCCATGTACTTTGAACGTGAATCAAAGTCAAATGGCAACTCCGCAGATGATAGCTCATATGCAATGAACCTGCCGTCTTCCATCATACTAAGGGCATACAATGTCAGCCGGTATGCTAAGAATAAATAGTAAAAAGGAATAATACCGTAATTAGTATTTGATTATACAAAAATATGCAATGAAAAACTTACCAATGACTTGCATACTATACACTTTAACTTCTTTTGCTAACTTCACATCAAGATCAAGATGATCACTTAAAACGTCCACCAAATTCAAAATGTCAGTGTGTAATGTCTTCTTTGTATCACCTGTAGTATGACGAATTGTCGGGTTGCTTGGCGGTCCCGAGACCTCCATATGAAAGATTTCTTTGTAATCTCTGACCCGAACTCCTATTGTGTCAAGAGAATAAGTGTTTAAATCAGTAGCTAGTCACAATAACAATAACAGCTACTAATCTTAGTGCATACCATTAACGTCTACTAATACGATTCCTGAATCAATCGAAGACTTCATAATTTTTGCTGATTGCGCATGAGATTCTATCCAGTCGAATTCTAAGGTTCCAAAAGTGGATTCATATAACTTAAACAAGGGTGAAATATGGTATATCGTAAACTTTCTTTCTTTGATCTTCCTCGAAAGTGTTGGGAAAACATCGACTAGATTATAACTTAAAAGAATATCAAAGTAACATCATTATGCATGATTTTCCTTTATGCTCATTAACAACTCAATACTTACAATTCCATTAACACTTTTTCGCAGTATACTCTGAATTTGTTTCCGTCCTCTCCTATTATTTCCTCCTGTATCGCCAATTTGAATTGTTTTTCCGTTTTCTATATAGATAGATATTATATATCAATTTGCCGAACCATCGAATGAAATATAATATAGACTCACATTAAACACATCCTTCAAGTATTTCTCTAAACCACTTGTCCAGGTAGAAGGTATCCGCTTTCGATATGAGGATATCTTATTTGCCAATTCTTTTCCTACTAGTTCCTCCGATTTAGATTTATTTGTGCCAAACACGCACACGATCTGGATTGATTCAATGTACCTAAAGATATGAAATCATTAGGCTAAAAAATATCGAAACAAATATGATTTTAACTTGAACTCACCGTTAGACTTTTTCGTGTTCTATCATCCTTTTATTCGGTGTGGTTGGTGTCAGGGATCGTGGCGACCTAGGTGGAGGTGTTTGAACCCGTGACTGGTGCGGAGGCGTTTGAGCCCGTGACTGGTGTGAAGGCGTTTGGGCTCTTTGGGGTCTTTGGATAATGGTATTTTGAAATGCTATATATTTCGCATTTTCAGAAACGAAATCCTAATCAACAATATAAATATTCTAATCTTTTCAAAAAGAAGAGAGAGCCACATTCCAAAAAATAAAATAAAATAAAACATACCTCGGCGATTTCCTTATGTTTGCGTTTTTGCCGTAAAGATATTCCTATATCTATCCATTCTTCATAAAACTCCTTACATGCCTTCGAAACTGCTTGCCCCTTCCACGACTTTGATGGATATTAGGATTAGCTTTGAATCACAATGAAATACTACGAATTAAGAGAGCTAGGTAATTACTTGTATCCATTCAGTATAGTCTGTACAAAATGCACGAATAGGACTATCGACATTCTTCTGGTTAGTAATTTGTCGTAGGTTAGCCAAAAAGAGTTCTTGGATTTGTTCAAAACTTAGTTCCATCTCTTTCTCATCTACAAACTTGTTCATGAACGCTTCCAGGCACCATTTAGACGCTGGTTCCTCAATGAAGAACTTGTGTATGCCCAAAATTCCCGAACATTTGTAATCAAAAAACTTTGAGCTCTTCAAACGTGGTTCTTTGTCCATTATTAAAAAAAATATTTTTTTTCTCTGTCTTGAGGTACTGCACTTGAAGTAGAAATTTCAGTTATATCAAGTCCGGTAGTGTTATTAACAAGCTCAGCGGTAAATGGCTAAAATGACTATTATTTAAACTTGAGTTCGACGCGCGACGCGTGTCGTATTCCAGGATTACCGTATTCTCCCCACCTTTTAAGGCTAAAGTTTGAGGTGGTGCAGTTTTTTTTTGTACTCTGAAATTGTAGATTACTCATATTACTTTATCAGCATGTGATAATTGACCAATTGGGGTTCGAGGAGGCATAGGCGTACTTAATAACGGATTTCTGATCGGACGTTATATCATAGTGGTTAATATTTATCGAACGACGCGACGTTGAAATACTTCAAACATTATATGCACCAGAAAATATAAGTTTAATATTTACTGGATGGCTTATTATGTCAATCTATCCTTGCCAATATTTTTACATTTTTAGTTTTTCCGACCCATGACTACTACGCCTGGCAACAGCCGGTAGTTGACCCATGGAAGTGTGAAGGCGAGACCTCCCTTTGCAACCCTATTACTCTGTGCTCTGGCAACAGCCGGCAGTTGTGATAGAAGTACAAGTAGAGCGTGCTCATGTCTGGCAACAGCCGATGACCGCTCTTTCTTGTAAAGGTGACCATTATGACTGCGCCTGGCAACAGCCGGCAGTTTTGATGGGCTTTTTTTATATCCACGTACTTGTGATTATATTTCAGTTATCATATTAACTTCAAACACATTTTATTGAATTGGCATAGAGAAATATATCAAAACAACATCCTGAATGAAATTGAATGCAAAGATAACAAGCGAATGAAATGTATGATGCTATCAAAGAGGGAGGGAGTACGCGGATCCTAGGCCATTTAATGCGAGTCCCAGCA